ACTGCGCATCATCATGTCACCAAATCCATACATGGAGATTATTTTAACCAAAAAACGTCTATGCAAAGAATCTCTAATTCTTTGGTCTATGTAAAGAAGAAAATTTTCCATACAAGTAAAATGCTATTACGCCGCTAGAATGCGGAAGGAAAATTTGCCAAGGGATTTGGCGACAGAACCTAGCGGCCAGAATTTCCCTCTCCGCAATGTGTACCGGATATTGAGAAACGTGTTAAGAAGAAACGTTCTTTGACAAAAAGAAAGCTACGAAAATCCGTTTTTAAATTATTGCGAAAAATCCAAGAAGAAACATTTTATCAAAGGACGTTTCTTCTTGGATTTTTTCGCAATAATTTTAAAACGGATTTTCGTAGTTCCCCCCCCCCTGAAAATTACTAACCTATGAATTAATTTACTTGCGCCAAAAAATATTTTCTTTTAATTTAGAGTTTAACTACTTGCACTAAGACTAAACTTCACGGTTGCGGTGCCGTGCACTACAATATAGCAAGTGGTAAAGTGTCTCATTTATGCCGCTCCGCATCTGCGAGTGCAATCCAGAGCTGTAACTCGAGAAATAAACAATCTCGTTGTTAGGCGACGTGTGCACCATGTTATTTTCATTTTTGCGATAAATGCTTATCGACGTGGGGTTCACGTCGCTCGCAGTTTGAGACAAAAACATCTCGACGTGCGTGGCACGTCTTTTTAGCGCAAGTGGTTAAAGAAATTTTAAAGGATATTCAATTAATGAACTCTTGATAACATGACCTTCGAACTTCGACACCGGTTTCCAGCTTTGGCGGCAGACATATCACGCATGCACAGATGTTTCCCTCTATGATGGAACGGAGCCACGTCTGTTGCAGAGAGGTTTTCCTTCTTTACAATACATATTCTTTGATTCTAACCTCCATGGTACCGTATACTAAGATTAAACCCATTTTGTTTTATACGAGAACAGGTACTTTCTTTAGTTCATGCATTGCACATGCGATTCTCGAGAATACTGAAAACCAAAAGTTGCGGGAAACTTGCTTTGCTTTTCTAAAAGGCAATCAAATTGGAGCTGTGAAAATTGGCTCTATGCCAGCAGACACTCACGTGATAGGCAATTCGCCAAAAAAGTTATCTCTTCCGACGTCGGCGTAAAAATCGCTTTTTTTGGCGGGATCATTGTATGAACTTCCGTGACTTTTCCAGATTTTGACAAAAATACTTAAATTCCCTGACTTTTCCCTGAATTTTTTGGTCAATTTTCGAATTCCCTGACTTTTCCCGGTTTTCCAGGTAGCGTGGCAACCCTGATGTAACAAATTAATTTGTAAGAAACATGTAAATATCTTATGTGAAGATTGTTTCAAAAGTAAAGATTCTGAATAATTAAAGGTATGTTTTTCAGTTATTGTATTACTGTACTTAATTTTGATAGAGATGAAATGATAAATTGTGTTACTGAAGTTAATTTCGAAAGGGTTAAAATGATAAATTGTATTACTGTACTTAATTTTGAAAGGGATGGATTGATAAATTGCATTATAATATACTTAAAAATTAAATGGAATAATTTAATTAGATTAAATAATAAAATCAGCAGAATTTATTTTTTAGTTAAAATTTGACTGTGAAGATAATTAAAAAATAATGTGCATTTATGCATTTTATAGTTTTCTTTCGAATACCGATCATGTGCAAGACCTTAAATTAAGTCATATGTTTTAAAATTAAACATATTAAACTAATCTCATGCAAAATTAGAATTTCTAGTTTCAATCCAAGCAATAAACTGTGCTCGTTCATTATATTTAACATGAAATGTGGACAATGAAACCTTGGGGTGAAAATTGTCCCGCGCGGTTACTAACGCAGCGAAAGGGAGCACGGGTGCTGAAGGGTTAACAGAAACTTTGAAAGGAAACTTTAAAGGGAAAATAAATTGGACAGAAGAGGGCACAAAAGCATTTGAAGAACTAAAGGAGAAACTGTCTCAAAGGCCTATACTACATGCACCTGATTTCAATAAGGAATTTATTTTGCAAACTGATGCTTGAAACTCTCTTATGTATGTCATTTTAGCTCAAAAAGATGAACGAGACAATGAACATCCAGTATTATACCTCAGTAAGAAATTAACAGAAACTGAAAAAAAGTACTCTATCACAGTAAAAGGAATGCGCCGCCATAATATTTACTGTGAAGAAACTTCAATGTTATTTAGACGGGCATACTAAATTCCTCATTATGACTCATCATAATCCCTTAGTTTGGCTAAAAAATAATACGAGTCTAAATCCACGACTTATAAGATGGGCACTAATACTACAACCCCACAATTACACGATCGTTCATCGAAGTGGTAAAAACCATAAAAATGTAGACGCATTAAGTCGTACTCCGTAGCCTGATTAAATCATTTGTTTCTCTATATAGATACAAAAATTTTTTGTTCCTTCCTCTCTTCCTCAGTGTATGTTATTATGTTATTTCTTGTATTTCAATTCTGTATTGTGCTGATATCGTTGTTCTGAAGGAGAAAAAAAAAAAAAACGCAAACTTTAATTTATAAGAATATAAATTAAAGTCTATCTGGAGGGGAGAGAGGTAGTAATATCTTGTTATTTAATAAATAACTATACTTATTGTTGAAGTGGCAATGCCATATTTGTATTATGTTACCGTTGCTCAGCAACGTGAAAAATTGTTTTAAAAATTAGAATTCTGAAGTTTTTACCAGCTAATAGTAGTATGAAAGTTTTGCCACTAAAGAATTTCTTCAAATTATCTATCTCCATGAACTAGAAATAAAATTTATATTCTAATAAGAAGATTGCCTGTTTTGTCAATTACTGCAAAATACATTACAGTCTTAATTAATTGGAGGTTCCACCGAGATACTGGAAATCAGGAGTGCAAATATCAATTTCGATGGTGCTGGTCTCCTAATCCCAGAAAGTTGCTGAAAATTTTGAGAACAAGTTTGGTAGTACCAATTGAAGTTTATTTAAAGGAGAAATGGATGTAAAAAGTCTGCCGTTTTAAAGCCAGGTTTGAAGCGGATCATTCAAAGGTTATCCTTCTGTGCTTCTACAACTTGCGTCTGAGCAAAAATTTGTCAAAAACGGGATACTGCTGATCTCCGAAGATAAGATTAACTTTTGGTTTTCATAAAAAAGTATTTATTGAATTTTAGTATTTCATTTCAAAATGGAATATAGCAGCTTCTTTAGCTAGTTGGTCCACTATTTCATTGCCGTATATTCCGGCATGACTTTTTATCCATTCTATAGTTATTTTGAATGAAACATTAAGTTGTAAAACTTTCTGAATTGCTGCAATAATAGATGAGGTAGTTTTCGGATTTTTAATTGCGTAGAGTGTGGAAAGGCTGTTAGATTTTATTTATATTATGCCTGCAATGTATTTTATTGCTTTACTCATTGCCATCGCCTCGGCTTGGAACATACTATTATGTTTGTGAAGCTGGCATTTCCATTGGTGAATTATGATGCCATTATGAAATGCCACGAAAGCGCATCCAACGTTCTCATTAATTTTAGATCTATCAGTATAGATCTCATATTTTTATCAGGTGATTTGGTGTCATTCATAAACACATGGGGAGAATTGAGTATCATTAAAAGTAGCTACGTGGCGCAGTAGTTTTACTTGCTGCATTGTGGCTTCTAGTTCTGTGCTGATATGGAGTGGTATTAAAACGGCCAGGGCATTTATTACATTTGAAGATGTTGTTCAAAAGGCTTTCGTTATACTTAAACCAAATGGTCTGTGTGTACTCAGAAGATGAATAATTCTTCGCCCCTTCACTGGATATGCCCATATGGCTGCATAATATGTGACAATTTTTTCAATAATGATATGAAAAAGGACCTTTTGGATATGTGAATTCAATCCCCAATGCTGTCCTTGCATTTGACGTAGTTTAATTGCAACAGCACTAATACGTTTCTTGATTTCTAAAATATGGGGTATTCAATTCAGTTTTTGGTCAAATGCGAGTCCTAAATATTTAACTTGCATAACAATTCTGAGGCAAGTGCCTTGTAGTTAGATCATTGGATGATGTGTCAGTTATCCTCCTTTTTTAGGTATTAGGAGAACTTGCGATTTATTTTCTGCTATGGTTAGTTTAAGATTTTGACAAAGGGTATTGAAGATATTGCAAGTTTCATTATTGTTCTTTTGTAGTTCTTCTCTGGTGCATCCTTGAACAATTAAGGCGGCATCATCTGCATATGCATATATTTTAGTATGCATTGGGCTTATAGTATTTTATCAAATGCAAGATTCTACAAATCACGGCCCGCACATGAGCCCTGTGGGCAACCTCTTGTCATTTTTCTTATAATAGCACCATTGTTTTGGATGATTAACAGTTGGCATTTACATACGTAATTTCTAAGGGTTTTGAAGTTATTTACTGGACAGTTAGCCTCTCGTAGTGCCTATAAGATGGCTGGCCACCATAATGTATCAAAGGCATTTTTTAAATCAATGCTAATGAATGCTGCATGGTGGCCAGTATTGCGGTATAAGTTATTATTGTCCTTTATATTTGTAAGTGCTTGAAGTGTTGATTTACCAAGTCTGAAGCCATACTGTTGTTCACTAAGGAAATTTATCTTGTGAAGATGATATTTTAATCTATTTATTAAAAGCTTTTGATATATTTTTCCAAGGGTCGATAAGAGGCAACTGGGATGGTATGCGCTTGCTATTTTTGGATTTTTATATTTCTTTATATGCCCTTGGAAAGATACCTGCATTTAGAAGTTTGTTAAAAGATATTTTGAAGAATTTTAAAATTTGAATTATATTTACCACCCTGATAAAATTATAATCTATACCATTAAGGTCCTGGAGCTCTCTTTTTTCGGTAGGTATCTGGTGATATGTTGTATCTCTGTGATTGTGAATTTCAGTATCTTCCGAGGATGTAGACAATGTTGTTGAAAATCTTACCTGTGGCTTGTGCTGCTGTATCAATTAGCGACGACATCATCTGGGAACACTGTATCGAAAATGTGATACATAGTTACATCTAAAATGTGATTGATAGTTACATCTGAAAGACTGGAACCTTGGGAGCTTGTTGGTTGAAGGTGTAGTTTCATTGGTGTAAAGAGCTTATCTGTGCCAATTTTATGATGTAGACCATATACATTTTTATTTTCGGTACAAAATTGATGCCAGGAGTTAATTTTTGCCTGCACAATCATCTGCTTGTAAAGGGCCTGTTCTCTTTGATAAATTTGCAATACATTTGATTGGATCATGTAACGTCCTTCAGACTTTAATTTACGCCTGAGAGCTCTGCATTTCTTTTGTTGTATTCTGAGATCTTTCGTCCACCATTTTAGTGATTGCAGCTGTTTTGAATGACACTGGGAAAGGATTTCATTGCAAGTATCTTGTATATCAGTTAGTAATAAATCGGTGAGATTTTCAAATTCTTCTGGTGACTGGATGTGGATAAGTTGCTGTTCATGAATAAGTAAGCTATTTCTTATTTTTCTACTGAATGCTAGAATTTTATTTATTGGTGAGTTATAGCATTTAATAATTGGGATGAATGTGCTTTTTTCAATTTGGAAAGTAATGAATCTGCGATCTGATAGACTTTCCTGCTTTTCTACTTTCCAGTTTTGAATTAGAGGGCTTATTTGTGAAGTGGTGAGAATAAGGTCTGGCCATCCTATTGCATATTTCATAAATCCTGTCGAAAGCGGGTGGAGAATCAATTGCATTATGTAAAATTAAATTTTTGGAAGACATATAATATTCTATATTATGACACTTTCGATTTGTCAATGCATATCCCCAGCTAGTATGAGCATTGAAATCTCATGAGACTATCTGATGGTGAGTACCTATGGAGTTAGAGATCTTATCTAAGAAGTTGAGAGCAATGACTAGATCATCTGTGGGACTTGAATAAATTGAAATAAATACCATTGTTAGTCCTTCTGTCTCCAAGAGAACTGCTACTTGACCTCGCTCTACTGCGAGGATATACAACGACCAGGCTTGGTTACAACATATTATCGTTGCTCGTGGTAGTTCAGACATATCTTCTTTTTGAAATATATTTCTTCTTTTTGAAATATATTCCATCGGCGGTGGAAAGCCATTGATGCTACGTAGCCAGGAAAATGTTTAATTCCGCATGCAGAAAAATCTATATTTTTTCTCTTGTATTGTTTTCGGAGTGTAGTTTCAGATAGTTGCAGGATCCGGACGATACCCAGATAGTTGCGGACGATATAATTAGTCTATGTAAGCCGTCCAGGTGTCCGGACCTGCTCTCACCTGTCACCACCTGTTGCTGTCTGTGCTTTTTGTAGGTTTATTTGTAAGCAGCATATTTGATTATTTAGTTCTAGATGAGTTATATTCATTGTATTAGTGTTCTGTATTTGTGGTTCAGTACTCTGTCGTAAGTAGACTTGCTTTGAGGAATTATTAATTTTGTTATTGTTGATTATTAGTTGTTTATATTCAGTTCTTTTTATTTTACTAATTTGATATATGTATGAAGGACAGATTGGAGACGTAGATATGATGCATGTCGAACCTTGTTTGATTTGTTTTATTATTTAATTTGCAGTTTATACAGTTTGGAGCTTCTGCAGTACATTCTTTTGTGTAATGATTTTTTCCACAGAAGTAGCAGTAGGGCCTTATCTTACATTCTCTTGAAATATGTCCATATTCTTGGCATCTGAAACAGCATTTTATACCATAAAACTCTAATTTTACATGTTTTCCATCCTAGAGCAATAATGGGAATGTTCCATACATATCTTGGATTGCATAATGCTTTTGGAGTACAGTTTATTATCCATCTCACGAGATCTTTATTTTTATCAGAGAGTTTAAATAATGGTGCTAGATCCTGAATGTTACATTATGTAGTATTTGATAATTGTTTTAGTAGTGTATCTGTGGAGATATTACATGGAATACTGTCTATAATTAATTTTGGTGATCTCTTCTTTGCGATTCTGAAATCTACTAATTTTATTGCTTCTTCATTTGTAATTGCATTTGATATCTTTGTTATGTTTTCATGCGATTTGCAGAAAGTACTAGCAATCTGTCGGTATCTAGGAAAAACTATATAACACAGATGAAAGCATCAATTCCTCAATTGTTGCTGTGAGTTCAGCATGAGTTCGGAGTACAGAGATACCTCCAGGTTAGCTTCCTCTTTAGATACACTTTGCCTTAACATTCTAGTAGTTCAAAATGTAATTACTGATTATACTCTATGATATTATGAACATCTGTATGAGTATTTCTGTGGAAAGTTCCAGAACTCTGAAGAGTTTTTTTTTATCTCCTCCCCCCTTTTTTTTCCTCATTAATTTCATTTTCTAAATAAAAATCGCTTAAGAAGTACAAAATGTATATTTTGCATTTAAGAAATCTTTCTCTGCTGCATACATAATAGCAAGAGCAATCAAAAAGATCTCTACAATATCACTTACGGTTTTGAGCACAAAAAAAAATTCAAAATAACAATATAATTTTAAAATATTGGAATTACAGATTTTTTTCAAAAATAAATGTACACTTAGGTCCCCCCCCCAAAAAAAAACATGTTATTTTGACTTTTTTTTATAGTTATCTGTTTATATATTAAGAGGGGTGGCAAACCCTAAACGACAAAAATTTCTAGATATGCCACTAGTGAGAACAGATACTAAGATTACGTTGTTCTTTCACAAAAAAATGTGGAACAGCAGAGCTTCAGAAATCTGGCAGTTTTCATCTGACATGTCTATATTTTTTAATCCAGATAATCACTCATCTTCAGACATTATTTTTAAAGGTTTGTCAAAGCATAGCAATAATCTCAGCTACAGTTTTACTACACAGGAAAAGCAAAATTTTAGGCACTTTCTTTTCTTTTTGTGGTCACACATCACATAAATGGAAAAACACTGTTAGCAGTAGCCAGGGCTGAGGAGTCAGGAGGGAAAATGACCAACTCAGACTCCTGGAATTTTAATGAATCTGACTCCATATACAGTCAAATCCGATTAATTGGACCATCGGATAATCGAACCAGCCACCTTTTTCGGACCAAATCCTAAAGAACCTAAACAAATGCTATGTACATAAGCCTAATATAATTTGCTTATTTGGACCAAAATTCCCTTTAATCGGACCAAAATACATGAGAGCAAATAAGATACAGAAGCTACAAGTTGGCCGCATACAGCAGATGTACAGGTGGTCTGCAACATATGGGAGGATCTATAGTTGTGGCTCCTCAGGAAAATGCTTTATCAAAGGTCAGGAATTCCTTAAAGTAATGACAAAAGCAAAACTGGTGGGAGGTGAACACGCACACCATTTTCTTTGACCTGCGCCTCCGAGTTTCGAGGAAATGAACAACAGAGTGTCCGGCTCCATCTGAAAGGAATTCACCCCTGTCAATCATGATTAAAGTTTACACAAGAAAGCTATCATTTCATCACCTTTTTGGGATGATTTTAGTGCCAAAGCTTTGAATGGCGAGCATTTTATCTCCCTCTTGACCTCAACATCTTGCACCCGAAACACCAAGATTTCTTCAGACCACTTTAGTCAGTGAATTGAGTGCGTGTCTTGTCTCCTCTGCCAAAATGCCACGACGGGACTTGACATTAGCTGAAAAAATTGGTTTCCTGTATAAGATCAAGCAACAACCACAAAACACTAGTCAGCGTCGGTTAGTGGAAATAACCGGATTGGCAAAGACTAAAATTTCATGCTTAATAAAACGAGAGAATGAGCTGTGAGAAGAATGGGCACAATGTGAAGGACGAGGAGGAACTTCCAAAAAAAGGAAGCATGAAGGCAAGGACCCAGACGTCGACGAGGCCTTTAATGAATGGTTTGCCATTGTTACTGGATGATCTTTGTAAGTAAGCACCCAATGTTAAAATACAAAGCAGAACAACTCACTAAAAAGCTGGGACACGATGACTTTAAAGCTATGGACGGTTGGTTGTCTCGATAGAAATCTAGACATGACATAAAATTCAAGAAAGCACATGGCGAGAAAGAAAGTGCTGATAGTGCAAATGCTGAAGAATGGAAATCAACAAAACTGTCCGAGCTTCTTGAAAAATTTTCAGCTGATGACATCTACAATGCTGATGAGACTGGGCTGTATTACCGTGCTACGCCGGACTGCTTGTTAATTTACTAACATGTTGAAATCTATGTCTCCAAAAAAGCGATGGATCGCGTAACTGTTTTGCGCTGCTCAAACATGTCAGGAACGGACAAGAGGAAGCTATTGGTTATAGGAAAGCACTAAGCCTCACTGCTTTAACCTTTTGACAAGTGGTGGTCGCGCCCTGAAACCACCAATTTTCGAATTTTTTTCTCCTCTTCCTTCAGAAATTTTTGATTGAAAATCAATTGATTACTGATCTTTTACCTCTAAATAACACAAAATGACTGCAGAATCATACATAATACATATTTTAGGTCTTAGTACTTATTGGATGACTTTTAAAATTTGTTTTCAATCGGATGCCTTTTAAAATTTGTTTTTAATCGGATGCCTTTTAAAATTTGTTTTCAATGAGACAAAATAACTTCCTTTTATAAACAACTTTAAATTTCAAAAGTTATTCATTGCACATCATGATTTCTATCATAAACAATAAAAATAGCAAAAAATGTAAACGTGTATATATATATATATATATATATATATATATATATATATATATACAGTTTAATTATATATATATATATATATATATATATATAAACCACTATATGTATGGCATTTGCTTTGTGGTTTCAGGTCGCGACCACTGCACCACTAGAGCATTGTGTCACAATGCTCTAGAGGTTCAGTGGTCGCGTCTTGAAACCATGGCTCTTCAAAATGATGTTTGCTTGCTTCTCAAATAGGAATGTTTATTTTTACCCAGATATAGATAAGAAGGCTTTGAAACCACAGAGTTATTTCATTACTAAACAATACATGCACCTGCCCAGTAAAAAGGTCTTTCTTTTCCAGAGACTTTTCTTTGACCTCAACACACTTGTTACCCAAGCTAGTATTGTGATTTTATACATTATTTTCTGTGGTTTAAATTTAATGTAAATATACTTTGCTATAATTAAAAATACAACTTGCATAAAGTTTTATTTAAATTAAAAATATTTTCTGAATGTTTTGGGACGAAATACGAATAAAATAAGTATGAATGGGAAACGAATGATCCTTACCAAAGCCAAAAAGACCAAGCCCCCCAGATTAACATAAAAAAAAACACAATTTCCTGTACCAGATGAAAAGAACCTAAATAATGCTGGACATATACCAATGACACTTAGATCCAGACAGTGTCATTTTGTAGCACAAGGAAGGAACTCCATAGAAGAAGATACATCTGCGAAACATGCAATGTGGGTCTATGCATATACCACAAAAGACAAAACATGCTGTGAACAGTGTCACAAAAAATATTTGTTCTTTGAAATTAAAAAAAAAAAAAAAAAAAAAAAAAACCAAGTTTTTTTTTTTTTTTAATCCTTATTTTACTGAGTTTTTTAATCCATTTAGCCAAACATCCTTATTATGTAGGTACTCATATTTTCACTGCTATAAAAAAATGACTCAAATGTTTATTTTTTATTTTTTCTGACGATTTACTTTGTAAATAATGTAAAAAAATTATATATTATGCAATTCCTACATACGTTTTTTTTTTAAATTCATAAATTTCATTGGAAACGCGCATAATAAATAATGTAAAAAAATTCAAAAATATGTTTGCAATTCCTACATACGTTTTTAAAAAAAAATTCATAAATTTCGTCATTTATTGGAAACGCACACGGAGAAAGGTAAGTTTTTTCCCCCCTACTACTTAGATAAGTTTGCGCGGTGGTTTCACAGTGCGACCACCACCCACAGAAGAATGGACAAGAGTAGATTTTTTTAAATTCATATATTATTTGTCTCTAGGTTCATAATATTCAATTTCTAGAGTTTTTAGTTAAAAAAATTATAAAAATAATATTGCGCCCGTCAAAGGATTAAAGGAGTTAGGATGGAGAGTTTACCAGTTGTGTATTGTGCGAACAGAAATGTGTGGATGAACTCTGAACTTTTTTAAAGAATGGCTGAAGGATTGAGACAGAGAGCTACAACGCCAGTCGAGAAAAGCGCTGCTTCTTCTTGACAATTGTGCAACACATCCTCATTTAGATTGCTTGATGAACATCCAGCTGGAATTTCTACCTCCCAGGACCACAGCTTTGGTCTAGCCAATGGACATAGGCATCATAAAAAATTTGAAGACCCTTTATTGTGCAATGTTGGTTAATTACATCCTTGAAGCAATTAAAGAAAGTTTGCTGACCTCATCGTCAAAAGCCAGCGAAGTCAACATCTTACAAGCAGTTACATTTGTGGCCGACAGCTGACGAAACATGAGCAGTGAGACAATTCAGAACTGTTTTTGTCACTGTGGCTTTACGCACTTGGTTTTGGTGATGGATGTGGACATGCTCATTGAAAGTGAAAATGATGATTTACATGTGGAACTTCAACAGGTACAAAATTGAGAAGAATTTTTATCCATTGACAACAAGCTTCAATGCTACTATGAAAATGAATATTACAACGCTGCAATCGTTGCTTGAGTTGCAGCAAAACACACGACAGCATCGGAAGACCAAGAAAGTGATGATGATGATGATCCGCTGATAAATTGGTGCAAGTGACAACACAGGATGCAAGAAAATGTATTGAAACTTTGCATCGGTATTTTTTTGCCTTTTTAATTTGTTCGTCATCCAACAAAATTTGGTGTTTAGGATCTACATATATTACACCCAGCAAGATCTTATTATCTAGCAAACTAGTTTCACTTTTCTTCATTGAAGAAATGATTCCTTCTGCAATAAACCCTCCATTTCAGAAAGAACAAACATCCCATTCTCGCCTTCTGTCAATTCTTCAGATTGCAGCTTTTTTGTGGCTATATACGGTATAGAAAGAAGAGTTTCCAATTCTGTAAGATCATTCTACAATCTTTCTGTTAGTGAAACATTAGGGTTATCTACATCTTCTTAAAAAAGTTCTTAATTCTAACAACCTCTTTATCATCAAATATGTACTTCCTTATTACATTGCTTGATCAATAATTCTCCTTTTCCTGCTTGCTTCCTAAGAAAGGCATCAATTTTGGGAGTTCTTGCTGCTATTGCTGCTTACCTAAATTTATCGATGAGATTCATAACTAAATGAATCAGTTTAATCAATAATTCCAAATATCAATCCATCCTGCTCCCTTATATTTATTTATTAATATGTCAATAGAATAGAAAATATTTATAACTGTATATAGTTCATGAATGAAAATATTAACTCAGTTTGTCATTAATTTTTTTTTCCAATTCACTTTAATTTCATTTCAAATTCATACTGTCCAACAAAACTAGAGTTGGAGTCGACGTGTTTTTAGGGACTCCAGCTCCAACTCCTTTTACCCAAAAATCTGTGCAACTCCGATTCGAACACCACAGCCCTGGCAGGAACGCATACAAATCAGCACCAAGAGCAAACCAATTTACTCAGATTGATGCCAATACACATACAGGCATGTAAAATTCTAAGCTAACAAGACCTTACAAATACATTCTATAATTACAAAATGTTCATATGCTGTGCTCTTAATCTGATTTGTTTGGGCTATCCCTGTACGCATATGGACTTTTTCTTTTATTACAGATTAAAATTAATTTTAAATAATTCAAGTCGCTCATTTAAACTGTGTTGTCCGGGTTTCTGCCATACATCCATGCATTGATAAGCGTGGGAGTTTAGAGTAATTTTAGAGTGTACTTAATAGGAATGATGATAATTAGGTCAAAAAATGCAAAAGAACCTACCTGCAAAAAAAGTAACGGATTACGTTTGCATGGCAAACTATAATTTCATAGCTATCAGACTTTTGCCTGGCATCAGCACGGTGGAAGTATCTTCGAAATGCAGCTTCAATCCTTGCCCCGTCTTCGTAAAACTGTTAAAAGTTTAAATAGTTATTAAACTACAGCCACTTACATTTCTACTTTCATATACATAGTAATAATTAATAATTGAACGTACTGACATACATGACTTAAATCAAGCAGATTTTGAAATGCTCCTAGAAAAAGTCTAATACTTGAGATTGACTAATATTGAGAACTGAAACTAACTGATTAATAACTCTTGATTTGAGGAATAATTTGCATTATATTTTGGCGGAAGAGATCAAATTTCTCCAAGTCATAACAGAAAATTTCGCCAACTGAGAGGGGGAAGGAAGGACATTGAAATATATCTTAGTACTTTAAGCAATTAATACAATTATTAAAGTTCCTTCGCTTGCTCACGGATTACAGTGAAATCATCCTAGCATGGTTCCAAACAAATTCAATTTTCACTGAAGGTAGAAGATATCATACATTCAAAACATTTCAGAAAAACAACTACTTAGTGCAAAGTTTCTGCTTTGTCACATAGTATAAAACAGTCAATCCCCACAGTTCACTTTCAAGTTAACAGGTAAACTGGAAATTGGTTCTCTCCATAACAAACACAGAGACTAACAACAAAGAACTACCTTGTTCGGGATGCAGTTCGGGAAGTAGAACGGGAGAAGAACGTTCTTTATTTTGATGTTGACTGGTTGAAAACGTACAATCTGCAAGATTTTTTTTCAAAGAAAAGGAGGAAAAAATTGTTTGTCTTTCTTGCAATGATAAAGCTGGTTAAAAAAAAAAAAATTGCATGAAATAGTTACTTATTGAAAAGAGATGTATATGTGATATTGCTTTCGGGAAAATGATCACTACAGGTGATTAAAAAAGAAGGAACATTTTATTTATATTCTCAGAAATACAATTACTGTTCACTTTAATATTATGGCAACAACAATAAACTGACACTTAGCATTGTTGCCATAATAAGTTTGTTGTTATAATTATCAAAATTATTAAATTATTTGCTATCAAAACAGATGCTGTGTTACTGAAGCTGTTCTGAAAGTAGAGTTCAGTTATTAATCTAAAAAATTTGGAAGAAACATAATTCTTCCAACTGCAGTCAAAAGTCGTTAATCCGGACTCGTCGGAACTTCGGCGAATCCGGATTATCGATTTTTCCGGATTATAGATCATCAGTTTAAATCTCGTACGATGGCATGCAGAAATTCTAAAATTAAAAATATGAAACCGTAATTTATGAAATAAAGAACAATTATGATCTAAAGGGTATCAAAATTTACAAAACAAAAGCTTAATATTTATTTGTTTACTATATTAAACATTTCTTTCAATGTAAGTTGTTTAAGTTGCTTCGTTTCATGTGATAATACTTTCTCTTTAATTCTATAAACAGACATAATTTCTTGTTTAGTTACAAAGTTCCACTGTTCAAGTCCCATAATTGCTGTGCCGAGAATACCGACTAACTTGTCAATCGAAATTTTCACTAACCTCTTTGTCACCTTCTTCATGTCTTTATCCATTTTTTGCAGCAATTCCACTTTTTGTTTGACGGACATCGAAACATACTTTCGTTTTGTAGATCCTTTGGGAGCTCCAGCATCAGAAATTCTATTTGACATAATCGAAAGTTCAAGTTTACTTTTATAAAATTGCTCTTACAGTCTGCAAAAAATAATAAGCCGCATCCAATTCGAAGATTAAGGAACAACGCAATCATCAACATTAACTGAAAGAGATAATTAGATAATTTTAGCTTATACCCTCCGTTATACATTAAACGCGCACGCAAAAATGTATTCTGCACTTGCACACACGCATATGCGCAGTCGTAAAGGTCTTACGCGCACGCGTAAACGCCTATGCGCATGTGTCAACGCGGTGCATGCGCATAAAGTTTTTAGCTTTGAGGTCCGGATTATAGATCATTCTGGATTATGGGTGTCCAAATTAACGACTTTTGACTGTATTGGGAAAATCTCAATGTATTTCAACTTTATGTTTAGATATGGGATAGTTCATATCTTTCTAAATACAATATTTCACTAAATGATTTGCTATCGGATAATTATTCTTTGTCAAAATTATAAGCGTGAAGGATTTTATGCAAAGTGTCTGGCGAACGCCAAGTATTTAAGTGTGGCCTTTTTGCCAAGCAGGAGAGAGGAAGCAGTGAGTTCGAAGCAGGCCGCTTACCTTAGAAGTTACGCAGTTGCTATTTGCCTTCCAGGCCAGAGGTTTTAATCCTCTTGATAAATTAAACGTATTGTAGTGTTCACAGTCTCTGTGCTACATACGCTTCCTGTTATTATAAGGCCAATCTTATTCTAAAGTTAAATTAGAGTTTAGTTTTATTTTTATACCTTTTACGTTAGACCCCGAGTGGAGGGTCATTGTATTCCGAAGTACGGAAGTCATTGTATATAAAGAAAAATAAAGGGTTTTGTATACCCTTCGTCTGTATCCTGTCTACTTACTACAATTAGTGAACATAGCTTTAGTAAGCTCTCTGTTCCTAGTCAGGTCATTGTATGTTTCCGAAGAAGGTTAGAAGAAACATTGAACCTGATAGTGGCGCCCGACGAAGAATAACCATGGCCGAGTTTCAAGAAGAACCTGTGCTGCCTGCAGAAACGGCTCAGAATCCAGAAATGCCAGCTGCCGCCCTGGAAGGATTTGGGTACATCGTCCAGACCATGCGCGCTTCGATGAAACCAGAAGCAACGTTTAATGGAAACTCACAGGTAACCAGTTTTTTGGAAAAATTGGATGACCACTTCATGCTCTACCCCGTGCACGAGTTTCAAAAAGTTACCTTAGCTACCAGCGCTTTGAGGGGCCAAGCGCTTAACTGGTTCAAATGTATCGGCAGAAGTCTCTTGGGTCAAGCAGGAAGTCCCACCTATACTTACGAAAATTTCAAGACTGCCCTACTAAAAGCCTTCCCTGTTGTAAGGGATCGTGCGAAATTAGAAACAGAACTTTTCAGTATATATCAACAAAGAATGGAAAACCTCTCGAGCTTTATTTTAAGAAAAATTCACGTTTTCAAGCTCTTGTATGGAAACCGTCCGGATCCTGAAATAATTCAAGTGATTTTGCCGAGGTTACTACCCCAAGTGCAAGACTTTATTGAATTAAGAAATCCGACTACACTGGAAAAGTTATTTGAGCTAGCAATCCAGTTTGAAAGTAGAAGAACGGCGGACGTCGAAAGAAGACGCCAATATCAACAGCGAAACCAATTTGGTACGCCAAGACTACAGCAAACTCAAGCACATGGCTACGGAGAAAAAGCGAATCAGTGGGCAAGGAAACCCGAGCATTCAAAAACAGCCGGCGAACGTCGACAGTTCAATAGCAACCCAGGAAAAAAGTCTCAAGGCCAGTGGAGAAAGAAGGAAAGCACCGAAAGGAAAAATAATTTAAACTAAAACGGATTTCTGCTGACGAGAGGGTGCGGAAATCCGAAGGCCACGAAAACCCCTCTTCCTACAAGTTAAATACAGTAATGGTGAAAAATTTAACTCTTCCGAAGATTGAAGTCTTGGTAAATAATATCCCGGCCACCGCACTCCTGGATACCGGCGCGCAGTGTTCCTGTGTGGCAGAAGTCTTTTTTAGAAAGTATTTTCGCAAATACCGCATATATAATGCGGATAATACAACAGTATTAGCGGCGCAAGGAGAAACAATGTAAGTGCGTAGGTAAAGTACCTTTGTACATCCGTATCAAGGACGAACAAGTAAAGGTGATGTTTTTTATAGTAAAGAATTTGCAAGCACATTTAATCCTAGGAATAGACTTTCTTTCAGACGCACAAGCTACACTGGATTTTAATGAAGCGTCCCTTAAGCTGACGATGAAACCAGTGCGTGTAGAAAAGGTTGAACCGCCAAGGTTAAATCTTGACCACCTGCCTAATGACGAGCAAGCAAGATAGAATCCGACAAGTGGTAAGTGAATTTGCTTCCTTATTTAGTGATATTCCAGGATTTACTCAGGTTACTAACCATAGTATTGACACCGGAGATGCATTGCCGGTTCGTCAAAAACCATACCGGTATGATAAGAATAAGGAAAAAATTATAGAATGGCATATTACCGATATGCTACGTAAAAAGATCATAACGCCTCCCATCTCAAGTAGTTATGCTAGTCCGGTGGTTTTATGTAAGAAAAATAATGATTATCCTTTGGAGCATCCAAAAAGGTGGAGATTCGCTATTGATTACCGTAAATTAAATTCCATAACGAAATATCCGGTATATCCGTTACCGATCATAGAAGAAATTTTAAGGAACATAAAATCAACCAAATTTATGACGACTTTAGACTTAACGAATGGTTATTTTCAAATAGGGGTCAGGCCTGAGGACGTGCCTAAGACTGCTTTTATAACCAAGTCTGGCACTTATGCATTTTTGCGTATGCCGTTTGGCCTTTCAGGCGCCCCAGCAACATTTCAGCGATGCATGGACATTGTGTTAAGACCTGTTCTTGGAAAGTCCACATTTATCTATTTAGACGATATCATTATTACTAGTGATAATCTCGACCAACATGTACAGGATTTAAGACAGGTGTTTTCTTTATTAAATGAGGCCGGTCTAAAAGTTAATGTCGAAAAGTGCAAATTTGCAGCCCCTGAATTAAAATATTTAGGTTACAAAATATCGCAAAAAGGGATCGAGACAGATGAATCAAAAATAATCGCTGTACAAAAGTATCCGACTCCAAACACGGCAAAGAAGCTCTCTTCTTTTCTAGGACTTTGTTCATATTATAGGTCCTTTATAAAAGATTTTGCGGCTATCGCTGAGCCATTGTTAAAATTAAAAAGGAAAAAGGCAAGATTCTCGTGGACGGCCGAAGCCAATAGTGCTTTCGAAAAATTAAAACAAGCATTAACGCAAGCCCCTGTGTTGAAATTTCCTGAAAAGGATGAAAATTTAGAAATTTCAGCGGATGCTTCGGATTATGCGGTAGGAGCGGTACTTTCGCAAAATCAGCAGCCCGTGGCATTTTTTA